GGATGGAAAGGTTAGTGAATGCCAGAACTTATCCTCTATTCTACATCAGTACTGCTTCGCAACAGGTCAGGCAATCAACCTCAACAAATCAGGAGTTTTTTTCAGTTCAGGATGTCCGCATCAATTGAGAAGGAATATGGCCCAAGAATTGCGAGTTCCGGAGATTGACAAAACGGGGAAGTACCTAGGAATCCCCTCCGATTGGGGTCAAACAAAAAAACAGATGTTCACATGGATTTTGGCGAGAGTAAACATGAAGTTGGAAGGGTGGAAAGAAAGTTTTATCTCCAAAGCGGGTAAAGAAATCTTGATAAAAGCGGTCGTACAGGCTTTACCACAATATGCGATGTCCATTTTCAAAATCCCAGTGTCCATTTGCAAGGCCATAGAGAGGAAGATAGCTTTATTCTGGTGGAAAACACATGCATCAAAAGCCGGCCTTCATTGGAGAAGATGGGAGATACTGAAGCAAAGGAAAGATAAAGGAGGTTTGGGCTTCAAAGACCTCATCACGTTTAACAAAGCAATGCTAGGAAAACAAGCTTGGAGAGTCTCTCAAACTTCAGATTCATTATGGTGCAAAGTTCTAAAAGGATGTTACTTTCCAAACATCGATTTTTGGCATGCAGTGAAGGGTTCTCATCCATCGTGGGGCTGGCAGAGCCTTCTTATGGGAAGAGATGCCATTTCGAAGGAGGTGAGATGGAAAGTGGGTAACGGGCAACATATTAGAATCAGGGAAGATAGATGGCTAGAAAGGGGCGAATTAGGAGGACCAAAAAACCAACATGAACCCAACATGGTAGCAGATTTGATCGCCCCAACGGAACATCTCTGGAATGAGCAACTTTTACACAACTTATTCGATGAAGAAGTTGTGAATGAAATCCTAGCTATTCCACTACCATCTACCCCGAAAGAAGACTCGCTAGTGTGGTCATCAAATATGTCCGGTTGTTATTCTGTCAAAAGCGGATACAATGAGCTACGAAAGAATGAGAACACACATGGCTCTGGGCAGCCCTCTTCTTCCTACCAAATACCCAACGATCTATGGAGCAAAATTTGGAGGCTAAAAACACTCCCAAAAGTAAGACTTTTCATGTGGAGCGTCTGCCAAGATGCATTACCTACAAGGGTAAACTTGTTCAAGAGAAAAGTATTAGCTGAACCTTTTTGCCCATTGTGTCGAAAAAAGCCCGAGACAGTCGAGCATCTATTCCTTCTCTGCGACAAGACAAAGCAGGTTTGGTCAAATCCCTATTTCAACATCCACTTTTCTCACCAACAGGTCACTAGATTTGAGGAGTGGTTGCAAAACTACAATGATATGACCCAGAAAAACATACCTTACGAGATCATCGCAGTCACCCTCTGGAAAATCTGGTTAGCGCGTAATACCCTAGTATTCCATCATGAGGAGACAGACCCAATTAACATAATTGAATCGGCTCTAGACATGCATTGTAATTACGCGAAGTGGAATAGAAGCAACTTAAAACGTGAAGCAGTACCGCTGAACTTGAAACCGAGATGGAGACCACCAGACCCTGGTTTGCTGAAGATAAACATCGATGGATCTCACCTCTCAGGGACCATGGAAGGGGCAATTGCATGCGTATGTCGCGATTCAGAAGGAAGATTGATGGAAGGCCTTGCGCGACCAGTCCGAGCATCTTTCGCCCTTCAAACCGAAGCCCTTGCCTGTCTCTATGCCCTCAAACACTTTGCTTGATCGGCCTCATTTAAAACTAATCTTTGGAGTCCGACATTCAACGTTGATAAGCTGTTTGAGAGATTCTTCCTCTGTCCTTGGGATGTTGAGCCAATTATCACTGATTGTATTGGCCTCTTGGCTTTTTTTGAGAGTTTAGAATGGGTCCTTTGCACCCGTGACTCAAATAGATTAGCAGACTGGGTTGTAAAGGCGTCAAGATGTAAGACCCTCCCCCGAAACTGGGTTTGTAACCCCCCTTCCCCTCTTTGGGAAATCCTGTGTTTTGATGCCCCTTACTCTTGTAGGTGGGCCCGGGTTTAATGAAATGATATCTCTATTTCGACAAAAAAAAAAAAAAAAAAAAAAGATCACGTCCGTACATTCATTTGATTCGCGAAGTCATGAATAGCTTTCGAAACCTACATACTCAAGTATAAATAGGACACGATGAGAATCATGTCATGCGCGTCTCATTCAGCAAATCTCGAAGCGCAAGCCTTGGAAAATGGCCCCTCTCACACATGGTTTTGTGGTGCCTTCGTCTCTGCCTCTCGGCCCTAATAGATAAAATCGATATTGGGAATTTAATAAAGTTTATTTGAGCTTGTGAGCAATTTATATTTTGTGCCTGTTCTTTCTTTTTTTTTTTTTTTGGGGTGGCTGAAAATTAGATTTTTTTGTGTGTGGGTTCTAGGTTGGTGGTTGGACCATGACGTACGAGGGGTTGACTTTCGTAACGATGAGGGGAGCAGGGCACCAAGTTCCCACTTTTGCCCTTTTGATTTTGACTTTTTTTAACCTTTTCTCTTTTTTTTTTTTGGTTTTGCTAAAACATTTGACTTTTTTTTAAACTTTTGTGCGGTGTGTGCTGAAGACAACGCGTCAGTGATTTGTGGCTCTTCACGACGCTTGTGATATAAATAAAAATCTGTTCTCATCACGTCTATTCGACTCCCAAAAAATATATATGAGTCCGAGTCACCTAATTAGTGCTTCTAATTATAGAAAATTAGCTTCGCGACGGATGAGAGATTGGGGGCTCGAGATGCGATTGGGATCGAATTTCGAAATAGGGAGGGATTAATGGCGAATGTTTTCTTTAATTCGCGCTCTGATGTCGTGATATTACTTACCAATATGCGGTCTATATATGTTTTGTCAGCCGGTGATCGTTGATTTCGCCGTTTTTGGCCTATAAATTCAACTTTTGAATAGTCGACGAACTCTGGCGAAAACTGCGAATAGCATGTGGAAGATGTATGTAATTTTAAGGGATGATTTTATTTTTTGTAAAATTTAGAACTCTAAATAGTCGAGAAAGGGGTTCATACTCAAGAGCTGATATTAAAATTCGAATGTCTGTTGATGCTAATGCAAATAACACCAGGCATGATCTTCTGCTCTTCTCGCCTCGTTGTTTGGGCTCTTAATTGTAAATAGGAGACGGCACTTGTTCCACATGTTACAAAGAGTAATATTACATAATAATAATAATAATAATAATAATAATAATAATAAATCGACGTGTAAAATAGATGGGTCATATTCAACACTCAGTAAGGGCATGTCGTATCATTTGAGATTATTAATTTTTCCGTAACTTTAATATATTAACAATTTAAACTTAATCTTAATACACTTAACATTGTTTCATTCCATTACAAAGGCCCAATGTGCTTCACTTCTAAAGAATGGCTTGTTCAATTTGATTCAATTGAGCGCCCCTATCGCTCTCTCGATCCGATTCAATGCACTGCCGCATTGCTCTCTCCGACCCGATTGGCTCAAGAACCCTAGCTCCAAATCCTTTCAATCGATCGAATCAAGCGCCTTGTAACTCTCTCTCTCTCTTGCTCTCTCAATTTGATTGAATCAAGCCCCCGAATCCGAAGACCCGAATCTCCATGGCCAACATCGTTTTGACGAAGGCCAAGCACGACTTCATTCTGTTCGAGAGTTTGCGCCATGTCACCCAATGCGGGAATCGCCGTACGGCAACTCCAATGATGAATAAATGTATCTCTCGTATAAATATTGGGGATCGAATGGCCAAATTTATAATTGGGATGAAAGTAGCTGCCTTCTTTTTATTTTTATTTTTGGGAGACAAATCCCAATTTCTTTTTTTTAATCAATCAATAGCATTTCACAATGTTGCTGGAAATGCAGGGCATGCAGGTGTACCTTTCAATCGGTGGAAGGATTAGATAAGATAATGATAACACACACGTGCAGATCATCCCTTTAACGAGCATAAGTAATGTCCTGGCAAACAATGTGATTCGATGTTGTATATACCAAAGTCTGTCGAAGATTTCGATTCAAGCCATTGACTCTACCCGCACATCTTTTCCTATATTCCAAAGTTGCATTGATTTAACCAATTTGATTATGAGAGGATGCTTCCGTTGGGGGACTCCCTCGAAGAAGAAAGGCCCCCACCACCAATTTCTTCGACTTCCATTTCACTAAATAGCAAGCAAATTCTCAAACATAAAGATCAAACTTTTCTCTTCTCCGTCCCCCAAAAGGCAAATTTTACTTTCAAGGGCATCGGGATCTCGTCGTGCGCGCGTCCCTAATCAAAGATCCCAGTAACTTTCGAACGGGCCGATCACGTCCGCACACTCAATCGATTCGCGACTCGATAACTAACCTTCCCAGTTTGGCATTCGGAATTTATATTCCTTTTCCAGATCATGGTAAAATCACGTACGGAATTCTCAAATTCATGTTTCGACGGGGGCAAAACTGAACGTCTTTTCCGTTGCGGGCGCTTTTGCAATACCGATAGAAGTCGGATCAGAGAGTTATGAAGCCCCGACCTTTTCCTTCGAATTCTCTCTTGTTAATTTCTAAAATATTAAGGTGCTTTTGGTACAGAAAAACCAAAAAACCAGCCTAGTAAAGGAAGGAAGATTTGTTCCTTGGTGCGGACCATGGAAGCGTCGCGTCTCATTTAGCACATTCATGCCCTTCGAAGTGGGCATGTACCACCAAAATGTTAGTCGCGATAAAACGACGCCCAAAATCACCATAGCTAGAATCTAGAATACATTCATCGAGTGAAAGAGATTAGCGCACCTAATTTGGAATATATCGTTCTTGATGAGAAATAGTGACGATCATTTGCGCAAGTCTTCTCCTTTATCACTCTATGTATCGCTGGCTCAATGAAACTGCCTCTCACAGATAGCGTTTGCTCTTCATGTGAGATATGTCACAGCCTTGCACTTGTATAAAACCCCCCACACACACACACTCGGAGACAGAAAATAGAGAGAGAGAGAGAGAGAGAGAGAGAGAGAGAGAGAGAGAGAGAGAGAAGCCATGGCGGGTCATCATTCATCATCTTCTTCTTCGAGTCCATCAGTGCTTTCGTTCAAGTGCCTGCTCGTGCTGACAGCAGCATTCATGGCCTCGGCGCTGCCCACGGAGGCGGGTCTTGGCCACGGTGAGCAAGAAGCGGACCGGGTGTACCAGCTGCCCGGCCAGCCAGAGGTGAAGTTCAGGCAGTACGCGGGGTACGTGACGGTCAACGAGACGCACGGGCGAGCCCTGTTCTATTGGTTCTTCGAAGCCACGGAAAAACCACAGGACAAGCCTCTCCTTCTTTGGCTCAATGGAGGTAAACTCTCTCCTTCCCTTTGGGTTCTCAGAGACTATATCATTCTTTGGTCCCCCTTTTGTCTCGCAATTCTTCATGTGGTCCTTAACAAGATATTTCTTCTGTTCGTGATATTTGTTTCCTTTCAATTCGCCTTGTTTGATTCTGCAATTTCTCGGTCCACTTCGGCGGCTTACGCTGTCGGTTTTACTGGGTTGTAACTAAGATACTCCGACAGTAACGTGATCGGTGATCCCCTCGCGTGCGCACGACGATCATGTGAATTCTTTGGTCGTTTCGTAAGAGTTAATGAAAATCCGTCGTATGCGTTCATAAATTTTAGCAGTATAATTCATGGCATTAGGGCTTTCGAATGTCTTTATCTTGAGATGTTACTGTCTTACACGGACAGCATAGTATGTTCTTCTCGTTTTCTCTTCGAAAAGATGAATTCTTACCATACAACGTATGTACCTTTGAGTGTAATATTCAAAGCTCATTAGGTCCGGTATCGCAATCATAGCGTTTTTTCAGTTCATGTGCAATAATTTGTTGACCCCTACCTTTTGACCGATGGAATTCCCCCTACATTTCAAACATGATTTAAGGAATTATTGGCAAATAATTTAGAATTTTAGGGAATAATATGAAATGTAAACTGTCGGGAGTGAACGGACAATGTCTTCCGTTCTTGGACAGTTCTATAGGTTGTCTTTACCCCTAAACATAATTTTTTTTTTCAATATTTTTCTATTTATCGGGGGGATAATGTTTTTTTTTCTTGTCGGGGGCCATATTTCGATCATGATATTCAACAAACATAGTTTATTTTCACTATTTTTCCATATGACCAGCCGTCTAACAACCTCCATCGATCACTTGGTACTTTCCAAGGTGTCTTACCTAATAAAACCAACAAGATAAAAACCCCAATCTTGTTTGACTATGTTGTTAATTTCCTGTCGATATTTTTGACCCATCATATAAAACCATGCAACAAGACAATTTGAGCCTGGTTAGGTTGCGACGCAATGATATATTCTTGGTTTTGTTTCTACGTCAATGTATTGAAAATTCGAGAATGAAACCCTAAAAAGACGATTGGCCCACATGAAAAAAAGAAAAACCCTAATAATGAATTCTTGAAATGAAGTTCGCCACTTGGTTCTTTCCTAGGTGTCTTAGCCAAAAAAAACAAACAACATACAAACCCTAATCTTGTTTGACTATGTTGTTAATTTCCTGTTCATATTTTTGACCCATCGTATAAAACTATGCTATAAGATAAATTGAGCCTGGTTATGTTGCGATGCAATGATATATTCTTGGTTTTGTTCTACGTCAACGTATTGAAAATTCGAGAATAAAATCCTGAAAAGACGATAGGCCCACATGAAAAAGGGAAAAAAAACCCTAATAATGAATTCTTGAAAATGAAGTTGTGCGGGCATTATTGTGGGGCTTCCAAGTTCAACCAAACTGGCGTGCTGGCGCTTGTCATCATTCTTGGACGCCGAACTTTCTTTGTCTTCTATTCTAAGCTTTCAAATCCACATTGCTTCCAATTGACACTTACAGGAGTTGAATTTGCTTTTTTGTTTTCTTTGTTTCGATTGGATTAAAGAAATTTTCGAAAAAAAAAACAATTATTGGGAAAGGACCAGAATCTTGTCTCAACACTTCTAGAAAGAGAAGATAATTATAGGGTAAGTACAAACAACAAGAATTTAGATGATTGGTCATTTGAAAATTGCAAGGCATGGTCGGTTTGGACATTTCCAACTTTTGATTTGTGTTTTCGACCCTAATTTTTGGCTAGAATATATGGTAGGAACATACCTTGATTGCTCTACCAGAAATTCCTGTTGTGTCTCTTTGGACAGATCTATAGGATCCAATCTGAAGTTCAATTGTAGGAAGTATGAAGATCTGGACAGTGAATGGTTGCATTCATGCGGGTGAATTCAGATCTCAAATATCGATAATTATTAATGACTTTATTTCCGCCTTGTTTATTTTCACTTGACAGTGGGTATTCAAAGCTCTTTCGACATTCGATTAATCCCTGCTAAGTCAGTTTTCAAGATACGCTTAAGCAAACGAGAGTACAAAATAAGCATCTTCCATAGACCTTTTCTTTTTCACTTCATGCACAGACTAATTAAGGAAATGTCATAGCAAGATTTTCTAAAATTATTTTTTTACGATAATTATACTGTTTATATATCTGGAAAATCACAGGTCCTGGCTGTTCATCGATTGGCTATGGACAATCAGAGGAATTAGGACCTTTCTTCCCTCAGAAGGACCAAGCAAAGCTGAAGTTCAATCGTTACACTTGGAACAAAGGTAAGCAATATAAGCGTAAATATTTTTTTTATGAATTACTAATTCATCATAATCTCCAAATTCAGAAAATTCATGTCTGTAAAAAATAAGCCAGGTGCCAAAAAAAAATTTCAAAAAATTGGACACTAACACTACTACTCTTTTTCTTTTTTCAGCTGCAAATCTGTTATTTTTAGAATCGCCCGTCGGGGTGGGATTTTCCTACACTAATACAAGTAGCGACATCGGTCAGCTCGGAGACACCATTACAGGTACAACGATTTTTAATCCGAATTCAATAATAAGTCGATAATTTCGTAATAGTTTTGCCACTTTTATATCTTAATGATAGTTTTTTCTGCTTTTTTTTAAATTATCTATAGCTAAGGACTCGTACGCATTTCTGGTGAACTGGTTTAGAAGATTTCCACAATTCAAGTCCCACGCCTTCTACATCGCAGGAGAGAGCTATGCAGGTAATCAGAAATTGAGTGTGGGAGAGAAAAAAATCAATGAAAAATATTTGAGATTAACATGCTTAGTCATGTGATTAACATATGTAATGACCCTTTAATCTTCAAAATCTCCAGGACACTATGTTCCACAGCTTTCGGAGCTTATTCTCGACAGCCATAAGAAGGTTTCGAAGGAAGACTACATTAACCTCAAGGGCCTAATGGTTAGTGTTCCTCATATCAGTGCCCTTGTTAAGGCTCGTAAACTCTCTCGGGAGACGCATTAATCTGCGCTTAAATCTTGGTGATGTGCTTTGCAGATCGGTAACTCACTGCTGGACGACGACACGGACCAAAGGGGGATGATCGACTACGCGTGGGATCACGCGGTCATATCCGATCACCTGTATCGCGACATCAAGGCGACGTGCGATTTTAGCCTGGAGCAGTTGACCACGACCTGCAATGGGAACCTCAATAAGTACTTCGCCGTTTATAAGATCATTGACATGTACAGCTTATACACTCCCAAGTGCGTGAATAGTAACTTCAGCAGCAATGCCCGCCAACGTTCGGTCATTGACGGCGTTGCGCCCCGGTTGCTCTCTAAATTCGTGAGTCCACATTTGATTATAATTTGTGATTTCTTTCGTCACGAGAAAAGAAAATGTACGGACATCTATTTGATGAAATATACTGATAATAGGAGTGCATGTCTGGTGTGATGTAAATAGGCCGGATGGCACCAGAGACCGGCCGGTTACGACCCGTGCGCATCAGACTACACCGAGGTGTATTTCAACAGACCTGACGTTCAAGAAGCGATGCATGCGAACGTCACCAAGATTCCATATCCATGGACTCACTGCAAGTTAGACAAATTTTTCACGTTTGGTTAAGATTATCTCAATTCCTAGTTCATGTTAGCAGAATGTTCTCACTTTCTGGGTAATGCAGTCACCATGTTAAAATAGCTTCGACTCCATTTACGGTCTCTGTAGGCAGATAACGCAACGAAAAAAATGGAGGATAATGTTTGTAGGGACAAGTAGAAAACGACCATTGACGAACTCATAGAAGCAGCAACCATTGATAAAGAAAATATTTCTCTTGTTGCATCTGCAGCAATAACATCACGTCCTGGGCGGACGCGCCGGCGTCGATCCTTCCCATAATAAGGAAGCTCATACGAGGAGGCTTGCGCGTGTGGGTGTACAGGTAATTCGAACCCATGATCTTTGACTAATTCTTGTTGGCGAAATTGATTTTTAGAGAACTGAATTGCTCATGGTTTAATTGGATGGTGAATTTGCCGTTGATAGTGGCGACACCGATGGGAGAATCCCGGTGACGGCAACAAGATACACACTGAGGAAACTCGGCCTTGATATCGTTCAGGATTGGACTCCTTGGTACAGCAATCAACAGGTAGTCCTAGATTTACTTCTATTAATTTATCCATGAGAGGTTTAGTTGGCAAATTCAAGTTACTAATCATTCGTCGTTGAAAACGATAAATTAACAAATCAAATTAATAATGTGTCGAGAAAGAACAATTTCTTTCATCCCGCGTCTCGTATCGAAAGCGCGTCGATTATGCTTGTTGGGTCGCTTTTGAAGCAATTTTATGCCATATAAATCTTTTAGATTGTGGTCTTAATTCGATTTAGGGTAGATGCAAATCGATTTCTTGCTACGACGGGATTGATGGGATTTGATTGATCTTTTTCAGGTGGGCGGATGGACGGTTGACTACGATGGGTTGACTTTCGTGACCGTGAGAGGCGCGGGTCACCAAGTCCCAACTTTTGCTCCCAAGAGATCCCTTCAACTGGTCAAGCACTTCTTGGCCAATGAGAAATTGCCATCTGGACCATTCTAGAAAACCTATCTTCATTTTTATTTTTTTTATCTTTTTTGGTGGATTTGAATTTGGCATTTTTCTTTTTCTTTCTGCCCTTTTGCTTATTTCCCTTACATTAGGAGTAAATAAAAAAAAGGGGGTCAAATAGACTGTCAAAAGTCATCATATAGGATCATTCACAGGAATTTACAGCAGTCTAGGGAAAAGTGGCCCTTTTCCACTTTTGTACACCATTGATTTGATTGTGGGCGACTGGGAATCTCTGAGGAACTTGGCAAGCTTGAAGGTTTGAAATGCTTCGGTGTAATTCTTGTAAAAGCATCTTTTATTATATTTAAAAATATCTAATCGTCTGTCATGATATGAATTTTGAAATAAATATTTGTACTATTTCTCTTCACTTTCGTGCCATGCACCACTAGTATATGTCCTTGATGGATCGGCTTGCAATATTGGAACCGAACCTCGAATCGTATTAACCCCCTTTCTTTGATTTTTATCTTTAAATTAAAACTTAAAGTTGGACCAGAAGCACATGCTTTCAAATTATAAGGAGAACAAAGGACATTAGTATATGAAAAAAACCTTATTTATTTTCCAAAATGTAGAAAGAAAAACCTACTCTAACGTCTTAAAAGTCAAAAGAAAATATATGGAAGTTACGGGCGTCACGAGATACCTATAGTTTGATGAGAAACATTAACTTTATTTTTCATCTCTGACTTAGATATCCAACAAATAAAAAAGGGACAAAAGTTAAACAAGAAAAAAAAAGTAAAAGAAGCGTGTTTCATGTGGAACCGAATCGACCGTGATAGACATATTAATTTAGTTCTCAATTGGATTTCTACTACAATTTGGTTCTCTTTTTCTCGAATTGGGTTTATGCAGTATTGGTTAATTTGAATGCTAAATTGAACATGATCGCATGGCGCTCACCCTCATCTATAGCCTCCTTTTGGCTATGCAAGCAAAATATTTTAAAATGAGTCGATCTACCCATTTGTGTAGGCCAGGCCTCATCGTTGATAGTTCGAATATATTCGTAGGCTAGGCCTACTAATACGTTCCAAATTTAAAATAGTTCGATAGGGTCTTTTCCTATTCTTTCTATATCGTAGGATTAAACCCAAAAAATATTTGTTGTTTTCCTGATGCTTCCTCACGTTTTTTATAAAAACCTTCTCTTAAAAGTATTTTAACAATGTTTTCCATGATACTATACACGAGGTCGGTTTTCTTTTTTTCTTTTTTCTAGATTTCGAGAGTTAATTTTTCTTGTTGTGAATAGAAAAGAAAAAAAGAAAATCGACAGTTGCATATTGAAAATGCCCCCGTACTTTTTTATGCGATTACATTTCACTCTCAAAATAAGTGAGTCATGCTCCCATATAAAATTTAATTTTTTTTGGGCCAGAGAGTCTTTCATCTAGTTTACTAAACAAATTTCATGGATGAATCCTACCATATGTATTTTACGGTAGTGCTCATCGCGTCCTTTTCTGTCTCTTTAACATCTAATCCAAGGGTAATTTAGGAATGTTCAACAAGTGAGACAAAACTCACTTTGGGCTTAAACGTATGTACAGCTACAAATACCATACGTAGCTTATCCATATATAACATGTCGGTAGGCCGAACCAAGCGAGCTCGGGTCGGGTCTGACCCAGGCCGTCCGACAAATCTTTGGGCGAACGTGGGCCGACTCGAAACGAACCGGCTATAAATGGATAAAATCGGAAACCCTAGGCACCATCTCCTTCGTCACACGAGATTTCGCTGCTGCTGCTTCAGTCGGCCAAGAGCAAGCAGAAGCGGCGGCAACAATGGTGAGCGAATCCTCCCGACCTAACCCACCTCTTCCTCGTGACGTTTCTTGCTCTCTTGCTTGTTTCTCGCGAAGAAAAAGCTCTCGATTTTGAGCGGTGGATTGCAGTAATTCTTCTTCTTCTTTCTTTTTTCGGGAATTGGCGGCGAAACACGAGCACGAACCGAACCTAGGGCGGTAGATTGCAGTTTTTAAGTTTCAAGAAATGATGCCCCACATCTTGCGACACTGCTTGATTTTGGGAAATTTCCTTGTTCTTCCTTATGGCTTGCGATTCCGGGGGTTATGTTGGGATGCTTAATTGAAGGGGCAAGTCCGACGTTTGTTCTTGATTTTTTATGCTGGTGGTTCGATTCTGTTCATGTTTGCTCCTTCTGCGCTGAGCTCGGTCGTTGATGTCATGGGGATCTGATTCAGACGCTGTCAGAAACACTTTAGGAACGTGTGTGGTAATTGGGTGGATGGATATGGTGATCCTGCGAGGTTTCCGTGATTTTATCTACTAATTCTCTTTTTTGTTGGGCTTTATGAGCTGGTGTAGACAGCGCCTTGTTCATGAATTTGCTGCTGAGTGGTCGGGTCTCTGTCTTCGCTTTCATTTGGATTTCACGCCGAAGTACTGTTCTTCGTAGACGCCTTTGTTTTGCCTCCCTCACCGTGCTAAAACATTTGCATTTGCGGATTGGTGAAATGATACTTGAAATAATATTGTCAGACATGAATTCTTTGAAACGAGCGAGAGCCGTCTATGTTACATTGTTCGGGGTTAGGTTGGAAACCGTGGTTTTAAATGAGTGGCGTGATAACCTGATGCTAGCTTGTTCTCCCCTTTCTCGGGGTTTTGTCATGGGGGGGAATCTACTCTGCTCTCATCGGGTGTTGAAGCATTCGTTTTATCTTGTTTTATTCCGCCTGTTCATCCGTCGTGTGAACTTCAGGTGAACGTCCCGAAGACGAAGAAGACATATTGCAAGAGTAAGGAGTGCAGAAAGCACACCCTGCACAAGGTGACGCAGTACAAGAAAGGAAAGGATAGCCTTGCTGCCCAGGGAAAGAGGCGTTATGATAGGAAGCAGTCGGGTTATGGTGGTCAGACCAAACCCGTCTTCCACAAAAAGGTGAGAAATTGAGCATCTGACTTGGTTACCCAATGTACCCTGATCTTTTGCTAGAAAAAAGAAATTGAAGTATGTCGTGTTGGACTCTTTATCTTTTAAATATACAGCATGAACAGCATAAGGGTAGGTTTGAGTTAAACTTTCGTTCAGTCATTGTGGGAATTGAAGTATATGATGTGTTCCTTGTTAGGCCAAAACTACCAAGAAGATCGTGTTGAGGCTTCAGTGCCAGGGTTGCAAACATGTTTCTCAGCACCCTATCAAGGTTTGTGCTTTTGTGTACTCAAGCTCTGATCAAATGCGTTTAGTCCATTTCTGAAAATTCTCCTGTGAATTTGTCTAAATCTCTGGTGGTGTTTGCTGCTGTAACCTGCAGAGATGCAAGCATTTTGAGATTGGTGGAGATAAGAAGGGCAAGGGCACTTCACTTTTCTAGATGATTTCTCTAGTCTTCTGATTCTCTGGATCTTTCAAAGACCTTATAGCATCTGCATCTTTGTTTTTTTTCTCTCTTTTTGGCCTGCCAAGTTGATGATGTTACTGGTTATCTGAATTTGTGAGATGATTTATGTGATAGCGATTAATTTTGACTGGGATATCTTTTCGAAGACTTCGACTCCAATAAGCATGTTCTGTTTTTACGGGAATGCAGTAGCAGTTTGAGCCGTGTTTATGCCGAAACTTGCAGGCATCAGTTCGCATTTGGAAAGTATGGGCTATATAATAGACACTGGGAAATTTGAGTTGGTTATCTGGTAACGAGTTTCTGGTCGCAAGAATAAGAAGCTCAGTTGTGGCTTGTGAAAATCTAGATTTTTAGACTAAGCACAAGAGCCTACGGACTTTATGTTGAATGAAATTGAAGCTTCGTTTCATTATGGAATGAAGCATTCTAGATGTGATTCATTGATAATCTAAAGTATATGCTAGATGTACAAATAGAGTATGACACGACGAGCCAAATTTGAAATAAAGTCTGAATCATTTCATTGATTGAACCACTTGTTAAACTTGAAACGCATGCTGATCACTTAGCAATTGGAGCTAACTGAGGAGTTACCTGATTTTGTGAGTGAGGGAAATGGAACTGCAGACCTTTCGGCCCTAAGCAATCTCTTTTCTCTTATGGGCATGGCGTTTACAGAGCCATTTTGAACTAAAAAAGATAAAGCCTGGTGCGTAGCTTCTCCTAAGTCTGTAAAGTTTTGTTTAGTAGGTCGGACATAACTCCAAATAGATTAATCTGCATCTTATCTAGTCTTCGAGACAATGCAAACTCCGAATATAGCATCGCCACCCTAAGGACCACCAACACGGCATTTGATCGCCGTCCCCTTCGCCCTCAACTACAGCTGCCTCAGCGCTGTCACCTCTGATTTCTGCTTGGCAAGCTGAGGTTGTCCTCATCGTTGTCGAGCCCGAGTTTCGTTGGCACGGTGAAGACATACATCTCGAATCTGAGGTCGACCAAGTGCCGGGTCCGAGGTCTAGGGCTTGGGTCGAGTGCTGCCGAGCCTGAGATCCCATGCTCGTGTTCGATCTCGGCTTGGGCTCGTGTGCGGCTGTGTCTCCTTCACCTCAATGAGAGAGGCGCTCCCAGCTGTTTGCGTGGTCGTGGCTGCTTTTGCCTTGGTCCCCAGGAGGTTGCCGGCGTCATGGTCCTCGACCGAAGTCACCCGACCTGCTCCTTGTCTCTGTCTTGCTCTCTCGGCGCAGATGGGGAAGAAACAAAGAACCAACCACAGTTGCAGAATGAAGAGGAATTTACAGGAATGTTCTTTCACTCTTCTTCAAGCCAAGACGATATAGATTTGCAACAGAGAGAGCTGCATTCGACTCCTTTCCAAACCCAATCTGTCTTTGGTCGCGTCGCCGTTCGAGATAAGAGGGATGTAACCAGGTTATATCGGAGCTCGGCATGGTGGTCATGGTTGTTGTCACTATTGTCCTCGGAGGTTGTGGGCGCGGTGTATTAGATATGACGATATCTATGTTATATTCAGAAATCTGCTAAGCACAATCATATTTTTATCCAATCCGATCTTCTCGTATCCAAAAAAATCTAAACTACCATGTGTACCCTAATATTTTATGCTTGGTATAGGAGAATCCTTCAATATTTCGAACAGAAGTAACAACCTAAGAAAGTGGATACGATGGACTGTTGGAAAATGCCAAAATGTGCAGAAATTATTAACCCATGTGACATGTTTATTTAAGTATTGAATAAATAGTAGGGTCGCGCTTTTTTTCACTTCTACTATGGCTAAAACACTCCCTCTTATAATGTTTTGACAATATTAACTTTTGTGGGTTTCACTTTTGTTAAACATTCTTCCGTTGCTTCTCTTCTTTCTCTTTTCTGGCGATGCCACTTTCCTTCTTCTCATTTTTTTCTCTCTATGCTCTCTCTTTCTAAAACATCCCTCTTATGTCAATAATCTGTGTTGAAGC